TTTTTTTTTTTTGGTGGGGGGAGTTGTTAATATGAAGATTTATTGCAGAGATCCCAGTAGCTACACAAAATCAGTATGGTCAGAAAATGCAGTCTGTTTGCTGGGGATGGATCCCCTGTTTAATTCTTGTAGGTAGGAGTACAATAGTGGCCTCAGACTGCCTGCTTCAAATCCAGATTTTCTTCTTCTTTTTTTAATTGTTGGACAATCATTGAGGGTACAAAGAAGCAGGATACACTGCTTGCATTTATTAGGTAAAGTCCTTCTTATAGTGTGTCCCACCCCCAAGAGGTGTGTTACAAGCCATCCCCACCCCCCAGTATACATTTTCTTAATCTGTTATCTGGGAGGTTGGCTTGGCACAGACCTGACCTGGAACCACCATCTCAGTTCTCTGATGCCTTTTATTTATTTGAGACAGAGTCTCACTCTGTCACCCTGGGTAGAGTCTGTGGTGTCATCATAGCTCACAGAAACATCAAACTCTTGGGCTTGAGCAACCCTTTTGCCTCAGCCTCCTGATTAGCTGGGACTACAGGCAGGTGCCACTACACCCAGCTAGATTTTCAATTTTAGAAGAGACTTGCTCTTGCTCAGGCTAGTCTTGAATTCCCGAGCTCAAGCAATCCACCCACCTCAGGGGTTTTGCTTTTGCTCAGGCTGCTTTCGTATTCCTGAGCTCAAGCAATCCACCCACCTCAGGGGTCTTGTTCTTGCTCAGGCTGCTTTCGAATTCCTGAGCTCAAGCAGTCCACCCACCTCAGCCTCCCAGAGTGTTAAGATGACAGGTGTGAGCCACCATACCTGGCCAGAAGCCTTTCTTTGGATTATCCTTTTTAGTGCTTAAGATATGAGGCTGCTGATATTTGATATATATTTTTTAAAACCTTCTGGTGTCTATTTAATTTTTTTGTTTGTTTGTTTCGGAAAGTTAGGGGGTACACATGTTTTGTTTGGGTACTTTCTTTTTGTACAGATTAAGTCAGCGTTATACAAGTAACGTTGTATACTGTGCTGTGTACACTGATACTGTGCCCTGTACCTGATAGGTATAAATTTACCTGTTCTCCCCTCGCCCCTAGAGCGGTTTTCCTCGAGAGTTCCTTCGCTATGTGCACTTCAGTGATGAACAGCTGGTTTCTGGTTTTTTTCCCTCTTGTTCCCCTCCAGGTTGCCTATATTCTCCAGGATTGGTGGCTTTCTTACTGGTGAGTTACGTCCAGTCTGACGCGGGAAGTACTGTAAAATCTGCACGAGGACTCCCTCTTCCACAGAGTTGGGGGTGAGATGGAGCTGGTGGCTCCTTCTCTTCCCGTCCTCCCTTAGTTCACATGGAGAAAAATGAAAGTCCTTGCTGGTGGAGTGTAACCCGTGACAGTCTCTAGCCATTTCTGACCCTCAGCCTCATCTTTATACACAATTTTGAGAAATGAAAGTCAGGGTTCAAATTGAAGTTCTGTGAAGTAGATATCCTCAGGATTGTGTGAGCTGGAGTCATCCCCCGCATAAAACATCTCCTCCATGTAGGGGTTCATTTGGGGGGTATTTATCTAAATTCCATCAGTAGCATAGTATTTTCTTTCTCCTTGTTCCACAGGGCAAATAAACAGAGTATGCTGAATGTCACTGTAAATGGAAGAGAGCTCGAAACCGAGAAGCTAGATCTTAACTGGTACTTAGGAATTTACTCAGGTAAAGTTTAATCATTTGGTCTGTTCTGTGAGAGGCCGAAGTGCTTACAATGAGCCAGTGTGAGTAACTGGGGCTTCCAGGAGTAATTCAGTAATGTCTTAACAGATTAGGAGTCTCAGTCACATTTACTCTGTGAATTAATTAGAATAATTATTTTGAAAATCTACCAGAAGAAAGAGGTTGAATGAAGACTCTTAATTTGCTCTGTACTGGATTTTGAAAGTTAAACCGGGATTGAGCATTCAGAAAATCAGCCACTGGAAATATGTGGTTATTGTCTATTCTAATAGGTTGCTTTGGCTAAATCTTCTATCATTATATGGATGGGCAAGGGGATTAGAAACGGATCCCCACCCTGTGGTTCGGATTGTTCCAATTCTGTCTAAATAAACCCTGGCTTTTATTGAACTTGGATGAAATCCTCTGGCAGCAAGGTCCCCCAAATAAAAGCATTATTCCCTCACAGGTATGCAAAGCTCCCTTCACCACACCGCTCATCTCTCGGGCTTCACTAATTACTTAAGAGGGATGCTGAGCCGGGAAAGATGCAGTGTCTGGGAATTAGGACTCCTTCTGTTTCTTACTTTGAAATCACAATGTTATCGCATCCCCAACTGTGTGATTGATTTAACATTTGGCTTGCCGGGCTAATATTAACACCACTCTCTGTTTTCACAAGAGTGCTTGGAATATATGTAACATTACATACTGTTTAAAGAAAATCCTCATCTCACGTTTTAAATATTTCCACAGGAAATGCTCCTACAAGCTTTCCTCAGAGATAGAGTGAGGTATCTTTGTAAGGACCCACTCCTTGAAATGTGGTATTTATTTTGTGGATCACTTGCTAAGAAATCTAAATTCATTAGCTGTTTACCTTCTGAATTGGTGGATTATGTGAAGACTACAGGGAGAGGGAGAACGGTTCTGCCAAGGTGGGCTAAAGAAAATGCCTAGAATTTAGGAATTTGAGCTCCTTCTGGAGGTTAAACCACAGGGATGTGTCTTCTGTAGCTGAAATATTTATCATAGACGTCACCTGTGCTCTAGTTAGCAGTGTCAGTTCAGAGGTTTGGAAAGCTCTTTTCATTTTCGTGTGCCCAGTGGGTACCTTCTCATGTCTTAAGAAAATAGATAATTATCTCAGGAAAAACAGTACAATTTAGAGTAGACTATTATACTTCTTTAAAAATGCCTGGTGTTGGTACAGAATATTTAGTGGGGATTAGTTGCTTATTTAGATCATCTTAAAATATGATTTGTATTTTCCTGCAATTCAGCTATTTCAGAGGTTTTTCACGTACAACTTAAAATAGTATTTTTAAATTCTTTAAAGCTACGTGGGCGTTATCTACCCAGAAAATGTGCATCGTTTCTCCTGTTTCCTGTTAACATCACATGTTGGTATCAAAACATACCACAGTTTTAGATTATGGGGCATAATGTAAAAAATAAGTTTTGGAAAATGGAGCAGATGAATCATTATATTTTCTTTTTGGTTGCTTATCTTACTTCTGAGTTTTTAATAAAGCTTTCAATTGAATTAGCAAAGCCTGGAATGAAATTGTAGTCTACATCTGATTTTTTTTCCTTATCTCTGTTGTTTCCTCTCAGTAAGAAAAATGAACTGTTTTAATTCTTTATCAATATACTATGCAAAAACCTATACTTTTATAGGATCCAGATGCTTTATGGAATAAAATACTATCTTTATAAACTGCCTGGCTTGCTTTTGCATTATTGAAGCAAAGGCAGCGATGTGCTGTGGTCTTGAGTGATATTTCTTTCTTTCAGGTTTAACCGTAGCTACCGTCCTCTTTGGCATCGCAAGATCTCTGTTGGTATTCTACGTCCTTGTTAATTCTTCACAAACATTGCACAACAAAATGTTTGAGTCAATTCTGAAAGCTCCCGTATTATTCTTTGATAGAAATCCGATAGGTAAGTCAGACGCCAAGTTTCTGAGTAAATACGTCTTGTTAACAACACATTTAAGATCTGATTACATTTCAGTCTCTGAAAATGGAGGGGACACACAGAAGGAAATCACTGTGCATGTTGATTCATTTCCTACAAGAAGCATCACTAATATTTTTCTCCTAGCAGAGAAAATCTGAATATAAGGGGCATACAATCTTATTCCATTTTATGTGTGTGTGGGAAAAAAAAAACCAAACTAATGTGCACTGTGCAGAATGATTTAGGAATCTGTTGCGAGGCATTTAAAATGCCCCACATTCTGTGTAAACATGTTGAAATGTAATGGAATAGTTGCCAAAAGATTGGCTGTATTTACATAGCACGAGGCTGTGTCACCTGTGTGAAAGATCTTACCTGGCATGCCCTTTACCGTGAGACAGGCTGTGTATTTGTTTAATTAGTTGAGAACTCTTATATGTACTCTGACTGTGAGGCTTCCTTACAGTGATATTAAGAGTTAATTAAAATCCAATGTTGATACAGTGCAAACACCCCCTTTTGTAGAAGTGTCTAGCTCTGGAGCTTTGCCAAGTGGTTGGCAGCTCTGTGCTGAGGGCCTTTGGCCTTGTCCTGCATCTGAAACTAGTGTCTTTGACCTGGGTTCCTGTGCAGAGTTGGTCATCACCATACATCGCACCCTGGCCAGTGGAGTGACTTGGGAGGCCTGGGGTGGCTTATTTGTGCAGATGGTAGTTGACAGGACCTGCAGAAGCAGGAAGTCACCCACATGTGGATCACTGGAGGAGCTCTGGGAGTGGCCACTGACTAAGCTATGTGACAAAGCCCAAGGCACAGAGACGGTATTAGACGGGCAAATCTCAACGCCGCACACGTTGTAGTTCAAAGAGTGGACCCCAGAGCCCTCTGCCTCCGTTCAGTCTTGGTGTGAGTGGTGGCTGGTTATAGTTGCATTCACATTCATGTACCATTATTTCATTTCTCCGTACCTTGGTTTTCTTATCTGTAAAATGGAGCTCCTTTTCATACCCACTATATCAAAATATTTTAAAATTAACTAAACAGGTTGGGCAGCAGAGGAGTAAGGTGCCAGCCCCATATGCCGGAGGTGGCAAGTTCAAACCCAGCCCCGACCAAAAACTGCAAAAAATAAAAATAAAAATAAAAAAGAAGAATTCAACAGGTTAATTAATATATCCTCGGTACTTGAAATAGTGTTTTGCCACAAGGTCAGTGCCTAATGAAGGTTAGCCACAGTCTTGCCACCATCCATATCTCTGAACTTGAGTTTCCTCACCTGGGGCAGGGGGTGGGGTGGGGTGATAACAACTGCTGTCCTTCCTGTGTCACATGATTGTTGTGAAGATTAAATAAGATGATTCTCATTTGGCTTGGCACCTGTGGCTCAAGCAGCTAAGGCACCAGCCACATACACCTAAGGTGGTGGGTTCTAATCCAGCCCAGGC